AGAAGGATGCCCCACCTCTACCGCTGTTTGATCATTTCTAGTGTGCCGCGTGCGATGGAATAAGTGTAAATTGATTCTCAAATATCACCCTATGGTTGAATGAAAATTATCCTGATTCAGCAAATAAGATTCTTTCTAGACTTAATGACTTGTTATCAACATTTACACCAAGATGACACAAACCATCTTCTCATTCCTCCACTATTTACATCATCATCTCCGACAATGTAAACACAAACTTGAATGTTTGTTCTTCGGGATAAGTCAGGAAAAGGGAATGCAAACATCTACATCATTAACACTGTCTGAGATGGCTTACAATTGATTAGAGGGGGCTCCTTGTAGTTCTAGACAACCTTGTTGTAAGCTTTGTTTATGGCAAACCCCGAAAAGCTAGAGATCTACCTCCTCTTCTCTCTTATAACACACTGCTGTCCGCGCGACAAAAACCGAAACAACCAAAGAGAAAAAGAAGATGGTGATCATTGATACAGATTTGCTCAACAGAGTATTAGTTTAGCCAGGGACAAAACTCAAGTAAAAAACTACAAGACAACGAAAAATGGAAATATGACAAGGAAATGGGTCGCCTCCACAAGATATCCATTTCAACGTCAATAAATCTTGTGTCTCAACTAGCGACATATTCATCACGTTTGCAGAAGAGTAAAATCCACAAAACAATCATTAGTATCCAGGTCAAACTTCATCATCAAATGAAATTAAAATAAAAGACCCAGTATATAGTTTCCAATACCTTAAATTAGCTGGCAAATATTTGAGAGAAAAACGTGTACAGTGAAAGATTGGTTTGCCACCTGCATACTTTTATAAGAACAAAGAAGCAGACTAGCTCTGGGTACACTGAAATGGTGGCAAGGATCCTCCTCCAGAAAATCCAAGATTCCGAAAACCTTCCAAAACTTCAAGGGACCTGCAAAAATAACAGAAGGAAACTTGATCCGAGAAGCATGACTACAAGACTAAAGAAAATAACCAAATAGATGTTTTCCAAACACCAATCAACATTAAAAAATAATGAACATGCCTAAATTGGAAGTTCCAAGCTCTAAATTAAAGTCACACCTAATCCTACCTTCCTATGGCCTTTTCTTTTGAGAACAACTTTTTGATGGTGAGGCAGCTTTAGTAAATAAGTTATTGTGATGGCAATTTCAACTTCCAAGAAACGATGACGATGGTTTGAAAGACATGGCAAAGGTCTACATACAATCAACATTTTTGTCAAACATGCCTTGTAAACTAAGAGATGTAGAACCTCAACAAAGCCAAGAGGACCAATATCTGTTAGCTGAAAGTTCAGCTTCGTGAAGTTAGTTTGTTGTGCTTATACTACCCAGTGACCCCCTCAATTAAATTCTGATAAGTCCTGTAAAATTCCAAGGACTAAAACAATTTCAACAAACATAAGAGTTTGACCAATTTTGTACCTGAAGTTTTGAACCATTATAGCACTGAATAATATCAAGAGAGAACACTTATGTCACAAAGCAGCCTAGAGTCCTGAGAAACTAAAACAGAAAAAAATAAATCTTTGTTGAGACTCATGGCCTTATGAGAATTGAACGGACTATATAGTTGTAAATAATCGTTTAATATAAGGAGCTAAAATTTGACCTACAGGAAATTCAATTTATAAAACAATAGTAGATAAGTTCATTTTGTGGAATAAATATCCTCCAACAAGACCGTCTATTGACCGAAAAGACAGTTGACATTTCCCAGCTAGGTGGTGCTGCAGCCTGCAGGGATAAAGGAGGATTGCATATTCTGGGATCAGATATTTGAGAATGAAAAATAATTGGGGAAAACAATCTCACTGAAGTTCATAAAACTATACAATGTGGAGTGTTTCCACCTGTGCAGAAGGAAACTTGCATGACAACTAATAAATGATCAATCAGAAGAAGACATAAGGGAGAAACAGAGAAGGGAATACTAGGAAACACATCCATAATTATCTCACCAGATTCATGTTCCAGTTTAAAACCACAAGAAATATCACCATAACCCTTAGAAGAAAGGTTCACAATGAATACATAATTTGCAGTGATTACTTTCCATGGCCTCTAACGCATTTGCAGCTTCTGGCCCTGCTGACCCACCAGCAACCATTGATGGAACAGCAGCAGTTGGAGACAATAGCTACACGGAAGACCATCTAAAATTCGAAAGTTATCTTGAATACTGCATGTAACTGAACTCTTCCCATACACCTGACACTCACCTTTATCGTGTTGTCATTTCCACTGGTTGACACAAAGAATCAAATGGATGGCACTGAACACATTTTGCACAACTGCAAAGGGCAAGAAGAGATGTTCTTTAGAGAATAAGAAACCATAAGGTGATGGCAAAGCCCACCATCCACAGTACATTTTTATCAGAGGAGAAATATTACCAGAATCATCTCCAAGAAGCATTTTTATCAATCTACCAGTCTGCTTTTCCCTAATGAACCACCTTCTATCATCACTGCCACTAGCGACAAATTCACACAAATGAATCAATCAGAATATGTCATGATAATAATTTCATTGTCAAAATTCACGTAGACCCAATTCAAGTAGTCGTGACTGGTTTCCACAATCAGAATTGGTTTCATGGACCGTTGACGACAATGAAGCAGAATTGAGACTAAGAGGGGGTGAAAACTCAGGTTCCTTGGGGATGCAGGGACACATAATCTGCTAGGCAGCAGTGGTTGCACATTGCCGATGAAAAGACCATATTTCATGGGAGCTATTACCACACTAAAGCAATTGAGCTGTTGCTTGATAACAAACTTATATGTTACATATCAAATTTCCAACAAGCAGAAAAAATGTGAATTAAATAAAGACTTCTAGATCTCATCCGGATACAACATGCACCAAAAAGTTTGGGAAACCAGATTCCATTGTCAGGTGTGAACTGCATTAATCAAACAGACAATGCCATATCATTTTCTATTTTATAGAAAATCGGTTGCAACTCACTACTATTTGATTTTCAAGAAAATGTTAGAGCTTAAATGTAGGAATTAAAATGATAATCCTCAAACAAAACAAGTGAAATTGGTAATGATGTGGTATTAAATAAATGAAATATAAGGAACTGAATTAGAAGAAAGAAAAAGTAAGATATACTTGTGAGTTATGAAAAGGCACAAATTCAACACCGTAAAACAACTGCCATAAATCTCATGGAAAGGGGAAAGGCAATATAATTTCAACAGTAGATAAAAAGTATAGATAAGATGATAAGAGAAAAATACCTTTCTGACCAAGGAAACTCGCCTGCTTGATGTCAATTCCAGCATTGCAGTGACCAGCATATCTATGCTTCATATCAATAGCTGCCTTTGGCTAGGAGCAATATGAATGCATGACATGAAAATCATAAGCAAGAAGATTAGTGAAAAGAGAAGCACGAGCAATACAATGAATGTCATTCAGCATACGTAAAATCCAAACAGGTATAGGAAGTAAGAAAAACTTCTTTTCCATGCTATTTCTACTATAGGACAGTCTTTTGTAGACTTTTATCCAACATTTCTTGGAAATTGGTTACTTATCAATATTCATCAAAAGTTGAAGCAAAACACAAGTAGGCTATCTGTCCGGGAAATAACAACTAAAGGCTAGCATTTTTACCAGCGACACATTTAGCCATGCCTTAATGATTCATAATTGATATGAGTCACTTTCAAGGCGATTTCTTGACAATGACATAATAAAATAGGAGACATCATATTCTCATAATCTTAAATCATTTGCAATCTATACCAAATATATGAATGTGAACCTGATGAACTCCTCTATTTTGTGATGATGAGGATGGAGATCCACATGAAACATATGCACCAGTTTCTCTAGTTGAATCACCTGATATTGAAGTGTCTCAAAATCTAATTCCAGCTTCTCATCAAAATCCGACTCTTTTCTTTCAGATGAGCGAAAGAGAAAGTTAGTCAATGACAATACCCTTCCCGTTCGAGGTTCAGACCTAGGTTCCCTTTCACTTGCCTCGTTAACTTTTGCAGCCTCGGCTAATTTTGAAAATTAAAAAAGAAAAATGACACCGGATTAAAGAAAAGATAGAAGTTCAACAAAAGTCAATGGAAAATGTCATTAGCAATTTAAGAGTTACTGAGCCTTCACATTCCTCATAGAAAGCAAAAGGAATGAACGAAAACAGAAAAAAGTATTTCACCCTTCTTTAGTGATTACTGAAGTTTATTCCATGTCATGGCAGAAAAGTTGATAGCTCCCGAGCCTAACAGAAAATTAAAGATGCTCTATGAACAAAGAGAAGACTTAGGGAAAGGTCAAATGATGCATTGGTCAGAGAAGAAACACAAGGAGCTGAGGACATCACTTATACATGACGTCTAGAAACCCAATCAACTGAACAGAGAAGAAACTTTTAACTAGTAATAATGTTACCACTAAATTCCCAAGAAATTTTCAGTCGATATGATAAAATGTTCCTGCAGTGAATATAAGTAGGACAATCAACTTTAAAAAACCACAGATAAGCCACTTCAATTGTGATGCCAATATGCTTGCACAAGACACCAACCTGCAGCATGATTTTTTTCATGTTCTCCACTTTCTCAGCTACCATATTGTCATATGGAGATAAACATTGTGCCGCGACAGCAAAATTTAATGCTTCTTTATGTTTTAAATTTGGATAAAGTTGATATTATATTAATAAAAATAATTTAAATACTTAAACATAGTTTAAAAACTCTTTTTAGTTTAAGCCTAATAATAATAATTACTGTTTTATTTTCTTTCCTCATCCAATTTTGACGTGCCATAAACTGGAAATAATGCTTGACAGAAGCTTTAGTGGTCCCATCATCGAAAACCATTAAGTGGGATAGGGAGGGTGCAAGCAATGTCTCATACATACAAAAATGCACGGACGCAAGGTAAAAATACATACATGCAAGATTACACATAAATGCCGGCCATGGATGGCCACATCTTAATATAATTCAACAAAGCACTACAATATCACGAGTTTAACAAAGCACAACAAGGAATGCATCAGATGGTGAGAAGTGAGAAATGGTAGAAGGCTCTTTGCTCCTGCGATTTTCTGCATCAAAGGGAAAGGGGAACCTGCAAGGCATGAAACTTGACAAAAGGAAGAAGAAACACCTGCCGAGTCTGCGCTTAGAGAAATACTTTATGGAGGGAAGGTAATCAACGCCTTCAATTTTGGAAGACTACGAATTATGCATGCCACTCCGTTAACAATGGCATAAGCTACCACTGATACTACTTGTAACAACAGTTGCGGTTCATAAAGTACCAAATCCCGAGGTTTTGGCTTTGTATTTCAGGGATTTCAAGTAGTCAATAGCTTCATCAAGAACTGCAACTGCATCTTTTCCCTCTACACCTGGAATTATGCTTCGCAAAACACTCACCGTCTCACGGATTTTATCTCTTCTAATCCTCTTGTTGCCTGAAGAAGAATCCATGTTACCTGATGATCCAGGATTTTGCCCACTGTCACAGCTGGAATCTGCATCATCACCATATACTGCATCATTAGCAGTATCCATTGCCAACAGTGAATTAATACTGCCATCAAGTAGCTTTCGCTTCTTAGTTACCCTCGTGGCAGCCTCTTTACAGCTTCCCTCAAATTGCTCATCCTGACCAGTCATTGTATTAGGAGAATAACCCGTGCTCATAACTTCTTCGTCCTCAGTATACTCACTATCATCATCATCCGAGTAAAGCAATGCATCGAGTTCTTCGGTGTCCTCGTGCATTTCACTTTGCACATCAATCCCATCCTCATCAAAAATATCTTTAGATATTGGTCCAGAGTGAATATTTCCGCTTAGTTTAGCTATGGGATCTTCCCCGTTAAAGTTACCAGCAACAGGAGATTTTGGACCCCAAGAAGTCAGTCCCTTGGTCGATGTCCCAAAAGCAGAACAAAAAATCAGGGTAGTTTGATCACCAGACTGATCGAAAACAAGGAATCTGTTCTCAGCAACCCCAGAACCTTCCTTGGGGATACCACTTCCTTTACAATTTTCACAAGGGTTAGCTAGGGGTTGCTCTTTCAAGAACGAGTTTGAAGCAAGCGCAAAGGCCAGTCGAAAGCGGGGTAAACAGTAAGACCAGCCGCGAGATTCATTACCTTGGCTAACCTGCAAGTAAGATAATTCTGGATTCGCATGAACCGGAGAAGTTCGGGTATTAGTGCCAAAGTTCATGAATGGAGGATTACTACTTTGCAGCCCAAAAGCAGGTGGAGCAGGCGAAGAGTTCAAGTTGGGTGATTGCCAGTCAAATCGCAGCTGAGGAAACCCTGATCCGCAGCCTTCCCTCATCCAACAAGAACAATCACCTAGATAAAAAACACAGAGTGAACCCAAGAAGGATATTAAAAAATGCATATATCCCATAAAACCAAGCAATAGAAGTAGAAGTAGCGCTACATACCAGAAATCGAATTTTGTAGCAGTGGAAATGACAATTCGCTTGCAGTTTCTCTCAAGAACAAAGATAAATTTTTTTATCTTAACTTGAACGCGAAAATGTAGAAAGCAACCTACGTAACTGGCTTAAGCAAATGACGGAAATATTCAGCCTGGAAAAGAAAAACACAAGAAAGGGAATTCAAAATATAATAACAGAACAAGTAATCTCATATGTTACAGAAAACAAATATGAACCAAAGAAATGTAAACTTCACCAAACAAAAGGGCATCTAATTCTTTCTGGGATTCTTGGTGAGGGGATAAGGGAGAAAAACAAACAAACCTGGCAATCTTGAAGAGGTTGAAAGCATGCTATGACTCTAACTACAATGGTGGCACTCCCTGCAATACCATTCTCATACTTCAATGCCCGGAATCTTGTTTGGCTCGCTGCTTGGCACACCATAACTACGTACTAACCCTTCAATATGGCACCAGCTAAAGAGAGGGTCTTCCAGGTACGAAAACGTATTCAAAACCCCCGAGATCCGTACTCTAGATCGAGAAAAACTGAACTACTACTACTACTACTATGTAATTATAATTGTTGGGTTAGAAATTTGAGCGACGTGTTTGAAGATTTTCAGCTAATCTGGCGGACATAACATGGAACGACGATGAAAAAAGTGGATCCCATGGGAGTCAGAACTAAATAAAACAAAAACAAAAAAGGGTAGATCTTGAAAACGCTGGATTATGGAATCACAGAATCACTCTACAATACAAGTTCAAGGAGATGACTTGTAGAAACGATTCAACTGAAAGACTCAACCACCAACGCATGTTGTTACTTCTTCACTGCAAATGGCCACTGTTTACTTCTCTTAAAAATGCTCCCAAAATACAACCACGCAGAACCCTGCAGAGAGGGATTAACATTAAGGATAATAAGCTAAAAATCACAGCAACAGAACAAAGTAGATGAAACGTGGAAGTGAAAAGGATCAAAGAAACCGACAACTTACAGGGAAGAAGAAAGAATAAGAAACCCAAAAATCTCAATCAAAAGCAACACACAATTGCACCAACAATCCTTAAGCTGCAGATAGAGAAAGGGATGTTTTTTAGTCTGAATATTTTAACCCTTCCGGAACAGAACAGTCAAAGAGCCTAAAATTTATGGATCCAACATTTAACAGTACATTAAATAGGGGAAATGAATTGACAGAAATGTCCCTGCTACACCCAAAAAAAGAATGGATCCAACATTTAACAGTACATTAAATAGGGGAATTGAATTGACAGAAATGTCCCTGCTACAACCAAAAAAAGAAAATTATTAATTAATAAATAAAAAGCCTGATTAAAGCTTTGGCAGGAATTCTTGAAATGATGAAAGTTTGGGTCCGTGTGGTGGGTGTTTGGTGTTCGGGCACCTCTGGGGTGGCTTTATCATGACCGGTTCGGATTTCGGACTCATTTTTCCTTGAGAGGAAATTCTGAAGTATCAACAAATTATTATCAACTCTACATTTTTGTCATATTCATGTTTAACATTTCATTTATATTTAGATTCAAATTTTTTTTATAATTTTTTAATATATATATATATATATATAATGATTCGTCATTATATTTAATATTTATTAATAATTTTAATATTTAAATACTAGCATAATGAAAATTTTTATTATACGATAAATCCAAATAACATCAAATAAAATTAGATTAAACTCTTTATGATTATTTTAAACATTAAAACTTTTACTATATATTTTATTAGTTTAGGGTGATTACAAGTAGGGATGGAAAATAGGCGGGTCGGGTACGGATACTCCCTCGCTTATCCCCATACCCACCTAATATTTTCAAATCTACCACCCATGATGGATACAAATTTTTAAATACACACCCGTCCATGCAGATATATTCTCAAATACATCCCCACACCCACTACCCAACTGGAGACGTATCCGGCTAGACCCGCCTGACAACAACCTTAAGTTATACATAAGCAACAAACATAAAACAAACACGTCTATTAAGAAGAATAATAAAATAAACCAAGGATTTTCTGAGTTAACTGTTAACATAAATCTTAAAGTACATAAAACACCATAATAAAAGACATAATTAAAGCCTAGAAACATAAATGACAAAACACATAATATTTTTGTTCTTTGGCACAACATTCTCAAATTTCAAGCAATACTTGTGACATCTGTTACTCCAGTATTACAATCATCATTATCTATTTCCTCCAATTGAGAGCGCTCCAATTTAAATTCACTACTACCTACATATATAATAGAATGCAAAACTAATATAAGTTAGTAACTAAACTTTAATAAGATAATTAAGCACAATTTGACAACTAACATAGTCTAAATAATAATATTACATTTAATATCGGCCCAAAGCCAATTCTGAGCACACATTAATGCTTCAATTGTCTCCGGAAGTAGTCGACTACGATAAGGACCAATTACTCTTCCACCTGTACTAAATGCAAATTCTGATGGGATAATGGAGACATGAATGCTCAAAATGTCATTTGCTATTTGTTGGAGAGTTGGATAACTATTTCCATTTGTTTTCCACCAGTTAAGAATATCAAAATCATCAACAAGTGGTATGTTGGCAAGTTTTAAGTACCTGTCCAAATCAGATTTTTTTTTAAATTGCATTATTATTTTGCTCTACAAATTCAACAAACTCGTTCAACATTGTTCCTTTGGTTAATTATGCCTAATATTTGGTTAAATTATAAGTTATATCTTATACAATATTAAGATTTATAAATTAGTCTCTATAATTATATCTAAATTCATAATGGTCCAAAATTTAATGGGTATTTAGTAGGCGGGCGGATGCGGGACGGGCGGATGCGGGGCGGATAAGGTCTTAAACCCATCACTCGCCCACTACCCGCGACGGATCCACTTTCTAAATCCACACCTGCCCAGTACCAACTAAAGTTATACTCATCCCCGCCCCAATTGGAGCGAGTACGGTGCAGAATCTACGAAATTATACCCGTTTGTCATCCCTAATTACAAGGATTAGAATTTGTTTTACATATTTTCAGTCATTAGACAATAAATGTTCAAATACCTATAATCATTTGTGCTTGAATTCGAAATCTTTAAAAATAACAATAATTCTTTACCGAACCATCATTAATTAACAAAATTACACGTTCTCGAGACCTGTGCAAAGTTCACCTGCCGATTCATGTAAAGAAACGCCCGGGTATGAGGTATTACCGACAAGCCACTCTCCTTGTACGCATCCCCATTCAACGCCTCATACACATTGTTGCTATCCGTTTCAACTAGAATCGATCCAACCTGCATATCCCACGCTAGTTTGAGACCTTCCAAAATCCCCAACAATTCTACATCAATGATTCAACAATTTCCAATAGGTCTCGAATATCCCATCACCCATTGTCAATCGTTATTCCGAATAACTCCCCCATAAACCATGTGACCAGTTCCGTTGTGTAGAGCCTCGTCTCAGTCGTCTGAATTCAATTACTAAAATAATTTTACTGCATCTATTTTTAAAATAAAATAATGTCAATTATCAAATAATGCCTCGAGATGTCATGAGTATGGTTTGTTGTGGATAGACCACTTAACCGAAATTCTCTCGAGCTTTTCTCTCTCCCATTATTCGTGATACAAAGTAAAAGTGCATATGGCACATTAGCCATTTTCTCTCGCACCAAGTATAAATAAATGTAGTGTAACGCACCATCGCATTAGTTTCACTACATACATGCTAGTGGACCATCCGTTTCACTTCAATCTTACGAGTTGATGAAGATGAATTCATTACAAATTATATTTTCAGCATGAATCAAATTACTTCGATAATTAATAATAATAATTGTTATTCCTATAGATTTTAAATTCAAGCATTAAAAACTTCAAAAAATTGAAATGTTCAATATATTAGTGAGGATCTTTAAAATATATACTACCATTTGTAAATATCATAGATTAATTAAAAAACGTACTTTAAACCCTAGGTAGGTAATACAAAAGAATTGACTACCCAATGTTTTGAAAACTCCGATTTGAAAAGTTAATCTCTTACTGAACCTTGAGGTCGTGAGATCGAGTCTCACTGAGGACATTTCATAATTCGGAGGTCTTCTACGGAAGTTGCTCTTAACCTGGTGTTGGGGACAACCTACTATCTTACATCCCCTTACCCCATTACATATGGGAACAAGAGACAACCATTATAATTTAAATTTAAAATATTTTCTATATTGGTTTTATTATGCAATTCTCCATGTTTTACGGCACTAAAACTTGTTTAAGGGGATATCGGTAATGGATTCTCCAACAAAGAGCCCAGGCTTCGAAGAAAGTTAAAAGCAACCCCCATGCCTTGCAATTAACAACTTTTGTTTTCCTTAGAAATGATGATCCTTTAATGTCACTACTCACTACCAATTTAAATCTAATTAAAATATCGATACAATGCATATATATGTATTAAAATTTAGAATATAATATTAAATTTTAAAAGGATTAATTAACTGTTTTTAAAAATAGAGAGATCTAATAAAAATTTTAAAAATTCTAGAAGTGTAATAATCTTTTTACATTTTTGAAGAGGCTTGATCTAGTGATTTTGAAAAAATATCGTTCTAAATTGATAGTTCAGATGTCATAAGCTCCTATCTTTGTCCGAGCCATCAATGCATTTAGTTGCTTCTTTATATAATGGCTTATGCTTACTCCACATTAAAAAATATATATTAATTGAATGCTAATTTATTTGACATTATTATTGTGATAATATTCGCACGGTTATGAATTTGAGGGTGTTTAAATATATTTATCTTTAATCCAAAAAATATTATATTTATATTCAATTCAAGGATTAAAATTTATATTTTATAATTTGTACCTCTATTTTTTTAAAAAAAATATTTAAATAAACTAATAGATTTAGAAAATAAAAACTATCCAAACTTGGATTTAAATTAAAAAAAATGAAAATTACAAGTTTTTATTTCGTTTTTCAAATTACTATTAATTATCCATTTTGCCCATAAGCAGTGGCGGATCCACGTGTATTTGAGAATTGGTACGTCTTTACCTTAAAATTTAAAATTATTTATTCTATTAGTTATTTATTTTTATGATGTTGCTCTCATTAAAATTTTATTTATGTTTATTTATCCATTCAAAAATTCTATGTTATTATTAATTTATGTACGTTCATTCTAAAAAATATTTTTTATTACTGATTGATAAAGATATCTTTTTACTATTTAAATATACAATTATTATTATTATTAGTCGTCTTTTCAATCACCATCATTTTCTTCTACATCGGATCATTCCAGTATCACATTTCAAGCCAACCACCATTCACCAAAATTAATAAAAATTAAAATAATATAAATTCATATTAAGGTAATTATGATAATGAGTTATTGATATAGAAACTAATAAAGAAATTGAGATTAATAATTCCTCACTCCAACGTAAGAATCATTACATGGATGGTGGTTGACTGGTCGGGTTATAAATGAGACGAGATAGATCTTGAGGTATTTGAGATTGACTCAATCAAGGCTTGATAAATATTCGGATCAAATAGACTCGACTCGAGTTCTTAAAGAGCCGAAACGATCTATTTGATATTCGACTCGAAAAGTTCGTGAACATCTCGAAAATATAATATATTAAGATTTTATTTGTTAAAATAAATTTTAATAATATTAATATTTATGTATTGATTTTTTAAAAAGTACAATAATATTTTCATGTATTTAAGGTTCGAGTTTGAAGCTTCAATCGAGTTAAGTTTAAGATTTTTTTCATTTCGAGTCTTTTCGAGCTACTCACTTCAGGATTTCGAGTTCAAGTCGAGTTTGAAAATGTAAAGGTCGGAAGTTTTCAGGTCGAGTCGAACTTAAGTTTAAAATTTTTTAATCGAGTCAAGTTCAACAATATTAAAACTCGACTCGACTCGACTCGTTTACCCCTAACCTTAATGAATAACACAACCGATGCTTTTTGGGTGGATATAAGTTTGGATTTTTGTTTTGGGTTTACTTTTTTGTTTTCTTTTGGAGTGGTTAAGGTGCATTATTAGTGGCTACCCCACCCAAATTGATTCAACACTTGGTTATAATTGAGGTTGTGTCCAATCAAGAAAGCGATAGTCATCGTATAAGAAAAATATTAATAAGAAAGTTATTAGATTTTGATATTGGTAGTTATTTACTTTAGTTTATTATTTACTTTAGTTTGAGTATTTTGATGATTATTGTCTTCAAATTTATTTTTTTATTTTGGTACGATGTAATTTTGATTGATTCTATTATTAATAATATCAATTGCTATTGGTAAAAAAATGTTAATTGAATCTAATTTCCTTTGAAAATACATAATATTTTCTAAATTTATTTTCATTTAAAACATAATAACTTGAAATTCGATTATTTTTAATGTTTTTTTGGCAAACTGTTTCCTTAATTATTGCTTAATCCGGGGCTTAATTATGAATGCATTTGAACTTTTCGCCATGCTTTCAAGTGTTGCCAAACTCAGCTGCCCACAATGTTTGAATTCCTTGGCAGTCGGAAACAAAGAGGATATAGAAAGAATAAATGAATAGTAAGGGTAAAACTCGACTATACTAAAAAAAAATCGATTTTTTTTAAATTTTGAGTTACTTGAGTCAATTCAAATTATCAATTCGATTTTAGAGTTTCATTCGAGTTGAACTTTGAAATTTCGAGTTACTCAAAAAACTGAAAATTTAACTAAATATTTTGACAATTTTACAATGTAGTCCATGATTTTATTATTCTTCGAATTCCTCCTCCATTTTAAGTCAATTTTTACCAAATTTAAATCACACGCTCCTAAGACATCGTAGAATACATATGTAATTTCAATTCCTCTTTTTGATAATAAATTTTATATTTTTCAATTTAATCTCTTAATTTTTCGTAATTTCCTTATTTCTTCAATTTATCTTTTATTTTAAGTCTTTTTTTTACCAAATTTGAACCACATGCTCATATACCACAATATAATACTTATGTAACTTCAATTTCTACATTTTTAAGAAAAATGTAATTCACTTTTCTTTTGTCAATTGACTTTGCATTTTACTCAAGTTGATCTTTTGACTACAATGGTTTGCAAATTCTTTCTTCCCATTAATTCTTTGACTCTTTTATACTCTCATTAATATTTTATCCTCAAAGTACTTTATTTGAAATATATTTTTATGAATATATTTTATAATATTAGATTGTGTTTATATATTAAATAATATTATAATTTGATATATATATATATATATATATATATGAGAGAGAAAGTCGAAAAATTGAAACAAATCATTACTATAATACTATAAATAATTGTAATAAAAATAATATAGAAACACGAATAACTCGATTCGAATAACTTGACCCAAATTTCTTAAACTCGACTTGACTAGAAAAAATTTCAAGTTGTAAAATAAGACTCGTCAACTAGAATAATTCAAAAAATTTTGACTCGGCTCGACTTGATTCGATCGAATGCTCACCCTATTGGATATTACTTAAAATAAAAATGTTAAGGTAGTCATTTCGATCCAAATAATGAAAAAGGAAAAAAAATCTTGCAATCCGACACCAAAATCTTTAGTACAGTAAGGAACAGGGGAATCTACCACGCCGTTTTATCTTCAAACATCTTGACGCTCCTCCGCTTGTGTACCTTCTCACCTCCCCTGGGTGCCTCACGATTGGTTAAATATTGTTTTATTTAAATATTAAAAAATTTACAAAGATTAATAAAAATGAAAGTAAATTAATTAAACAATTTAAGTATTTCTCTTAAAATTACTAAAGTGTGTACATTAATAACCTTAAAATAAAAATATCATCTAACAAAAAATCAAATCAAATCAACAATAAATAAACATCGCTATGTGAAGTTAAAGGTCTTAAAGCTCTTCGAAGAGTTAAGCCCTCCTGAGCTTGCTCTTCTACACAATACTTCGAACCTTTATTTGCCTTGGGCTATGTTTATGAAAATAGTCCAATTTTTTTGGACAACAAATCTAGGCTTAGTAACTAATTTCTCACTATATTTTGACTTACTTTCAATTTGGTACCTATACATACGATTCTTCTCAACTTATCTCATGCATCATAATTTTTTCATAATTTTTTATATTAAATTTCCCTTTAAGGCCTTAATAATTATGTGTGTCAACTTAATAGAATAATTTCATTGGACCCTTTAAGGCCTTAATTGACTAGTAGTTTCCTTGGACCCTTTAAAGCCTTAATTGAATCAATTATATTTGTAGATTAGAAGCTTCCTTGGACCCTTTAAAGCCTTATCTGAATCAAATTATATTTGTAAAGTATAGCAACGTAATTGTCATTTTGCTTTGGGAAAACGCGATATAAAATGAAATTTGTAATCTGAATCTTTTATGAGTTAAGTATATTTTTAAAACTACATAAATTTAATGCACAGTTGTAGAGTTTTGAAAGGAATTAATAAATTTAGGCATTGAATGCACCATGTGATCAGATAATTTAATGTTATGGGGGTATGGATTAACGTGGAGGCCCAATACTTCGGTAATTTTACTTGAATGTTATTATTATTTTAAGGCTTAATATAAAAATAAGTATTCAAATTATATCGTTTTTCTTGCTTAGGTGTATAACTTATATAGTCTTTTAATCGATGATCATGTTCTAACCATTACGAGTGCTTATAAATAATATGATACGCGCGAAAACTTGCTTGGAAAAGCTTCGAAGAGTACTACAATGATTGAATCAACCAAAAGTACAATGGTGGTCAATTCTATTTGAGCTAACTTTTGATAAATCTTGCAGCCACGTACATTTAATAGGATTGCAACATTTAAGACATTTAAAACAAATGGGCATATATAAGTGGACATCGACCATCTTAATATTTTTTTCAGAAAAATGTGTAGATTAACTCATCCGGATGAGCTTTAGATATGTGATTAATAATCGATCAAAGAGCACAAGTTAAATATCGCAACAAAAGATCAGGTATATATTGTCTATACATTGATATTAAGTGAGAGTGCTCCTCTACTAGTACAACCTCAACCATTCCAATTACAGGCATTTCTATTTACCAATGACATCCTCTATATTTTCATTAATTCTATTCAACGATGAGATTGTTGATGACAATAATGATCCTATTGAAGATTGTTTAACACAAGGAAATCTAGTGCGTAACCAACGTCGATTGCAGTATGAAAATGGTACACATTAAGATCGGTGAGTGGAAAATTTTTTCCCTTGCTTTTATTGTAATTATCAATCTCAATAATTTTGATATAAAAACAATATTTTTATTCTCCTAAATATTGATATCAATAATTTTAGTACAAAAATGATATTTCTAATAACATAATTATTCATATAAATTTCAATAATTTTAATTCAAATAAAATAGGAATACACATTAATTAAAATAATAAAAATTTACCAACGGGGTTGGATCAAGTGGTAAGCAGATTAATATCGCTTAAGCAAGTTCTCAGGTTCGATCCCTACAGTGAGATTCACCCATCGAAGTCAAGTGTGCTACCCGAGTCAATCTATATTAGTCAGGGCGAAACCTTGGAACTCGAGGATAATAAAAATAAATAATAATAATTTAATTATTTCCTAAGACGACGTGTTTTGTTGTTCGCGATCAAAGGCACTCTTACCGTTTACTTTTATTTATTTAGGTTGTGTATGATTTCTACAAGCTTGTGTAAGATTTCTTTGGATCTAGGTACTCACATTCAAAGTTAGAATTAAAATAAATCATAGTATAAATGTATTTAATTTTTGATTTTTTTTCCGAAACTACAACGGGCTGTTAAGACGTCTAATATTTAACAGCTGGTGATCACCATCTCCATGCCAATAGCATGAAATGGCATTTGACATGACAACTTATTCAACAAATTAACTCTCATATATAAACCCTTTTCTCCCAAAGCTACAATATGATAAACAATCTATTCTTTGATCTTGTTGTGGTAAGGGTCTGTTTAACTTTCTCCTTTTGGTTCCGGAACTACTTGCTGTGGTTACATGGGCTAAAGCAAGCGGCATCCAGCACCCCGATCGGACTCGGTGGGACGCCGGTATTGTTACCAACCAATGACATATCATGCATCACTCCCACACAGTTGATCACTCTTTCCTGCAAATAAAAAATGGGTTTAGTTCAACTAAAACAGTTTGGATTTTGGACCACATTGTTGTTTTTACCTTTTGTACATGTTGAGTGAGAAAAGACGCTGCTTTCTCTGTGTCCAGAGCAGAAACAGATATGGCCACTGCTGCTGCAATCTCAGAAGGCTTGAATTCGAACAAGTCAATCCCTGCAGGCATTCAATCCCCTCATCAGTTTCCCTCGTAAAAAACAGTACAAATGTCTTTCTGAACAGAGGAAGTAGGGGACCTTTTATTGTGCTTGGGATGAGTTGGCTTGATCTCAATATTGAACTTCTTTCTGGGATTTTATCACCATTCAGCTTGTAAAGAAAATAGTCTACGTAGGAGAATGGGGTGATTGCTTGCATTTTCCAATTCAATGTGCTCAAAACTAAAAGCTCCATTCTCTGTATAGTTCTTGTCTCGAACACAAATTTACACTCAACAACCTGTATATCGAAAACCATTAGATCCAAAACGCCTGAAAACAAAAACTGCTATTGCTTGATTATTCACCTGCAAATCTAAAAGCAATGGAGCTTGAGTCTCCTCCATTTTGGCTGCAAGAGATATACATGCCACTGCTAGTAATTGCATCGTCCAAGCTTTATCCTTCTGCACGATTCGAGATTAGAACCCTTTAATTAAATCAATGGATTAGGACACAAAATTTGACATGTTTGATTGGTTTTTTAGAGCTTACGGGTAATTCATATGCAGAGAGAAACCTGTCCAAGTAGTTTATTGATAAATACTCACACAACGGTCCAAAACCAAACTGGGCATTAACCTGTTTATGAACACGGAGTAAATCAACAATGGAACAAGCTAGAATCAATGAGGTGTTCATTTCTTAATTAAAACCCACCTTCCCGATAAAATCAACAGCTTCTTTTCTAGCTGCCAGGTCTAAATCGCCACTCTTTATTCTCTTCAAGTAATCGGCATTGGGCAAATGTTGGTGCTCTTTTTCCAACATTAAAGCCACGCATTCCTCGCTCTGTAACGGTAACCCATCTTCACCAACACCATTAAAGCCTCGGTTTTGATTCGAGTTTCGATAAATTCTATGATTCCATGTTGTTGCCTCAAACTCACCACCCCCGCCAAAGTAATCATCTTTATCATCGAAAATTATTAACTTATCTTCTGCACTCAGAAGACTTGAAACCGCACAATCAAAGCTTGGTGCCATTGCAGACAAAAATCTTCAAAATTTCTCTAAAACTATTGGGAAAAAAAAACACTATTTTATCTGTATTTTCTAAACGAGAAATGGTAGTAGTTTATATGCAAAGAAGTGTTTCCTTGAATCGAAGAATTGAAGAACAAATAAAGGAAATAATAATATCTGTAAGAACGAAAACAAGTTCTACAAACAGAAGAGCGATGATGCAGTAGTCTCGCTCTTGAAAGAGACTGCTCCAAAGAGAGGGTCACTTAAGAAGCAAACCAATGCCCTTTTTAGGGTAAAAGAAAGAGAGAGTGTGCGACACTGAGAGGGAAAGAGAGTGAGAATGTTAGAGAAAAATAGTGTATTCCTTTGTAAGCCTGTGGACTTTCTTTTATACGTAATTCTGTACATAACAAAAATGTATAATCATTCATCTTTTTTTTTTCTTCTTTCCGACGCGTCTTTATATGAAAAATTATCTCATTTTCCAAACATCCCAATTGGTTTCGGATTATTAGATTTTTCAATTTAGATCGTTGAATTGTTTGAGGGGAAAAAAGGCAATGTTTTGTTGTTTATGGTAAAATCTATTATCGTATTATGTGATGGATTTAGTAATTTATTTTGTCTGTAAATCAACTTTTCTGTGTTTCTTGGAACGATATTACCATGCTTTAGTGAAAAATCATTTCGTTTCTTTCATGATCTTCCATGACATTAATTATTAGAAAAGTTTGATTTTAAATTTATTTTTTTAATCAAATTAAAGGGATTTTTTTTTCATTTTAGTTCATAAATGTTAACATTTGTTTTCAAGTTTAATTGCAGTAGATGCCTCTATTTCATAACCTTCAAATCAATGCTTATAATTTAATAATTGAAGTCGAGCATTGGTCACGTTAGATTCAACTTATTATTTGATTGTAGTTAAATATATACAATCAATTCAATTTTATTTATTAATCTTTATCTTAATTAATTAAGAAAAATCATTGATTCAACTATATGTAAATTCATTGAATTTCTATTAATCAGTACTACACAATTTTATATATTATTAAAGTTTTTACTTGCATCAGTGTCTTGTAGCTTGCATATGCAATATAATTTGGTATAATTTAATTAGTTGTTTAAAACTTTTTTAAGCATATTAGTAATTTAATAACAAATATTATATATAAAATGTGATATTTCTTATCTTCCGGAGAAATAACATGTTTTAATTTATTTGAATAAATTAAGATTTAACCATATACAATTTAAAAAAAAATTCTTTTGAAAATTACAAAATGAAATCATATAATTCCGTATTTAAGAACTTGAGAGTGGGAAATGTCCACGTTGGTAATTAATTAAAAAAGGGGTATTTATTGCGACAGGAAAAACAAGTGCAGTCTGCAATTATTTTCGAATAAACCCTTGATTGCAATAATATCATATGATTCGGGACCCTAATTTTCATGCCGGAGTTGCTTGTGATGTTCTGCGTTGAATGCAATGCTTTCTTTTTAAAGCAGTGGTTGGAACTTACGATTTCTTCCGATCACAATGATTCCAGTTGGTGAAGTATGAATATGACGAAAACGCCAACCCAACCGCTAAGTAATTCAGAAATTTTCTTTCTTGCCAAACAGTGGAAAATGTAAAGATGGAGCATTAGAAATTTTCAGTCAAACTTTGTACAGAAAGCGATGGTTTTTAGCTTTTCACCTCCACTTTTAGGAGCATTTTCATCTTTTGGATTCTGCGAATACACCACACCACTTCTCTATCACACATTGTTTTAGCGAATGACTGCTTAGAGTTTTGATAATTACCCTTTTAACTAAGAATTTGCTAAGCAAAGAGACATTGTGCGAGCATCCTTGGCCATCTCTTAACTTCCTTGGTAATGGTGTTTGATAACAGAACAATGTCTGGTCGGCCAGTAATAATAACCCACAGTCAAATCAATACTGTGCATATCAAGAAACACAAAAACATCTCACGACGGTTTCTTTCTTAAATGTTCTTATTTATATTCCACACCACTAGGCTTGATACCCCTCGACTAGGAGTTGTTTCTTTCTTTGTGTTTTTAATTCCTCCCTCTTAACCCGACGTTCTTAAAATGAGTTTCATTTGCATCCAGGCCTTAAATAATTATCATTCAAGAAATGATCATTTCTATCGAAATTCAAACTATTAACTTCGTATCGGTGTAACTTTAATTTAATTAAGGGTAATCTATGTCAAATGTCACTCATCTTTAAGCTTGGGCTCGAAAATGCCATCGACGTTTCAATTTTGCTAATTTTAACACTGACGTTTATGTTTCACTGTAATTTTGCCTCTCCGTCGTTAATCCGTTAACGGGACGATGACATGACATCTTTTTTCCGTGACGGCGATGACATGGCACCCTCATCAAAACGACATCGTTTTGGCACGACCGTTTTGATGCTTAAAAAGCTCAAAACGAGGTCGTTTTGTTGATGAAAAATATGTTTTTCATGAGATTCAAACCGCAAACCTTTAGAATCCAAATCTAAATACCCAACCACCAAGCTAACTTAAGAACTTGCTATAACCTTAACAAAACTATTATAAAATGTTCATCACTACCACCGTCACCCTCATTATCTTCCTCGTTATCTTCTCTTAAGAACTTAAGAACTCTGGAACCGTGTGGCGCTTCAGACGGTGGAGCTCACCAGGGAAACGAGGGATGTGATGATCAAGAAGGATAACTTTCGAGAATTTTCGAGGAGTATTTTTGAGCTGGACGTGTTTTTGGGGTCATTAAGTGTATGGAAAATAGAAGCTGCCAGGGGATCGGACTTTACCAAGGCGGCACTTGAGAAGTTGAGTGGCTTGTTACGAAAAGCTTCCAAGATAATCGATGATTATAAGTCCGGTAGCCGTCTTCGGTTCTTGCTTCACTCGCATTCGGTGCTTTCACAGATACAAGGTCCAGCTAAAGATATTGCCTCAACCATTTCCTCGTTGCAGCTGGCTAATCTTGATATGGCACTGAACTTGAAGAGCATTAATGATGAGGTTATTGATAAGCTGAATACGATGGAGTTTTAAGTGGCGGTTGCGACCAAAACGATTGCTACGAAAATAGAGAATTCGATATCCCCAAGCAGTAGAAACCGAGACAATGCTGTAAAGCTTCTGAAGAAGATCGCCGAAGCCGTTGGTGCTGATGCTAATGCATCTTTTGTACAAAATGAATTGGCACTTCTGAAGCAGAAAAAAGAAGAGATGGAAATTTAAAAGAAACAAGCAGAGGCGCTTCAGCTTTCCCAATTGATACAGTTGTTGTATAATACCGAAATCGTTTCGAGTCCACAAAGTGAGGAGACCCTGACATATCATAAGCAATACCCTATTGGTCCCTTCATATGCCCCTTGTGCAATGAGATGATGGTTGATCCGGTTGCAGTCATTTGTGGCCACAGCTTCGAACAGAAAGCGATACGGAGATACTTCTAGAGTGGAAAGAATGATTGTCCTACTTGCAAAGAAGAGCTTCAAAATTTAGAGCTAACACCAAATTTTAACCTTCGATCCTCAATAGAAGAATGAAAGAAAAATCATATGGATTGGAGATTTCAAGCAGCAGTCTCCCGAATCAACTCCGATGACCATCTGAGGAAAAACGAAGCCTTGGATGATATGCAGGTTCTCGTGTAAACCCTTCAATATACTGTGAGAGCTGTAAAGGAGGGGCTCATCCTGAATTTTGTCAAATCATTAAAAGATGCTAGGGCTTAACGCCATGGCCTGTGAAATGCCTTTATTGCTTAGCTAAATACTGCCATGATCATAAGGTAAGAATTGGATTTGTGTTTTTACTTTTAAAATGTTGAATATCAAATATCTGAAGAGTTCCTTCTTGGAATTGCAGCAAGAAATTGTTGCAGCAGGAGATAATGAGGGTGACGGTGGTAGTGATGAACATTTATAATAGTTTTGTTAAGGTTATACCAAGTTCTTAAGTTAGCTTGGTGGTTGTATATTTAGATTTGGATTCTAAAGGTCTACGATTCGAATATAATAAAAAACATATTTTTCATCAACAAAACGACGTCGTTTTGAGATTTTTAAGCATCAAAACGGTCGTGCCAAAACGATGTTGTTTTGATGAGAGTGTCATGTCATCGCCGTCACGGAAAAAAGATGTCATGTCATCGTCCCGTTAATGGATTAATGGCGGAATGGCAAAATTACAGTGAAACATAAACGTCGGTGCTAAAATTGGCAAAATTAAAACGTCGATGACATTTTCGAGCCCGAGCTTAAAGATGAGTGGCATTTGACATAGATTACCCTTTAATTAATGTTATCATTATAAATTAAAACAAAACTTATCGGATGAGTCATGTAGGAAAACACCGGCATGCATATGCATTTGAGTTTGACGAAAAAAAAAGTTTGAATTCGATTCTCATGTTTATTTTTATCCAAATTTTGAAAACGGAGAAAAGGAATTACAAATTAACCTTGGATGCTCTTGTTCTTAACGTATTCATTAAGTCGTTCAAGAAGGCATGCTTAGAATATAAGTAAATAAAGAGACTTTAAGGACACACATTTCTAACCCTTTTTTCCTTCCCCCATATTCTGTCAACTTCCTTTTTTTTTACTTTAGTAAAAAAATACTTATTTTACCCTGCACTATGCTTTGGAATTTAAGTATTTTTTCCACCCTTTTGAATGGAAACCCTTCAGTGAACAAAATTAAATAAAAACAAAAACTAAAGGGTTGGAATCCCATATGAGTTGTCAGTTGTATGTTTGCGTTAATCACAAAGACTATCTTCTCACTGTGCATTTAAATTTTGTAGGTCTAAAAGCAAAGTCTTTCTTCTCTTACTGTTTGAGATCCGAGCTTAACAGAGTGTCATGTCATGCCTCACTGCCTACCACCAATTTTTTTAACTCAACTACTCGCTTTCAATGTTTATATTTAGGGTAAACTATGTATTTAGTACCTAAGCTAATAGTTTTAGTATATTTTAATACCTAAACTT